GGCCGGGTTCCCGAGCGCTTGGGGCCGCCGCGTTGGCGGCGGCGGGCTTGGGCGTCGATCGAGGGGCGTGTGTGCCGGGGGCTGTCTCTTCGTTGCTACCAGGTGATGTCTCGTTTAGGTCGATAGCGGGTTCGCGTGAACTTTGCGAATGGCGATCTCGTGTGTCTGCTTTGGCAGCGGTGTGTTCACCCTCCGATATGGGTGTGGGTCTTAGTGAGGTGGCTTCCGCTGGTTCCGCCTTGCTTAGACAGTGTGGGGGGCGCATTGAAGTGCTCGTGGCGGCCGGTGGTGCCGGCTTCTTTGCGCCCCATGTCAATGTTGCGTCGGTTCGTGAATTTTTTGGGGTCTCGAAACGTTTTCCGCAAATTGACAACCTCCTCCGCGTGTTGTGTCCTGGCGCGCCGGTCGATGTCGCGCCGGGGGGGTGTCTAGACGCCGAATTAAAATACGGCAACCATTCCAGCATTTTACCATACACTTCGCAGATCATTGACAAGATCGTTTCCGATGTTACGTTAGGTCGTGCTCTCGTCTTCGACGTGCAGTTCATCGGTGAAAGTTTGGGTGTGCGTGTTTACCCCCTTGGGGTGGTGGACGATCCGAAATTCCGTATCATTCATGATCTCACATTCACAGCGGCTGGTGCGCAGTCTAGCGTCAATGCAGATATAGATTTTGATCGTGCCCCCGAGTGTCTGGTGGGACATGTACTTTACGATGTCTTGTCGCGCGTCCTCTTTTAGCGCCAATTGCACGGGCCGACTCTCGAGATTTTGCTCTGCCGTATTGACGTGCGTGAGGCTTTTCGCCAAGTGTTGGTCGACCCTTCGAGGGCGTCGGTATTCGGATACACGATGGGGGACGTGGTCGTCATCGACCTTCGTTGCCAGTTTGGTTGGCGTTCCAGCCCAGGTTTTTGGTCGCTGTTTGGTTCCGCTCTTGAGCATGCACACACCCACACTACTTTTCAGACAGCTTCTGTGTTACCTGCCGGAGTTGCGGCGGTTGATCATGTTCAGCTTGTTCCTCCCCAAAACCTCCCCGTATCGTTACCGAGTGATTGTGCCCAAATTTCTATGGAGGGCGGTTTCGCTGGTTCCGCGTTTTTCGTTCGGTATTATGTGGATGACGGTGTGCTTGTCGAGGCGCGGTTTTTCACGGATGGTCGTCGTTGCCTACGTGCAGTGCAGTCGATCGCGTCGGACCATTTCCGTCTGCTGGGACACCGGGGGCCAAACGATCCTCCGTTGTTGTCTGCAAAGAAAATCACCGATTTTTCGACGCGTTTGGAGGTGTTGGGATGGATTTTAGACACGCAAACTCTCACAGTGACCATGCCTCTGCGAAAACAACAGAAATTAAACCGCTTGTTGGGCGAGTGGCCGCGGTCGCGTCGGTGTGCGACTGCCCGTCACGTCGCGGAATTGACCGGTTTTCTTCTTCACGTGTCTTTTGCCTTGCGTCCGGGCAAATTTTTCGTCGGCTGTCTGCTGGCCGACGTCGGCATGCCGCAGTCCGAAGTGTTTCCTTCGCGTGTTTCTAACCCCAATCGGCGTGTCGTGTTGGGGCCCATGTTTCACGATGATTTGGATTTTTGGCGCTGGTTTGT